TTGTTTTAAATTTTTCCTTTCTGTGGGCTCAAACCCGTGACCCCTGTATTATATGCTCAAATGGACAAGTCCTTATCTACTGTACAATTAGATTAGATGGGGCGGCAGTGCACGGCACAGCCCTGGCGCTGCTTACACAACACGCTAACTTATCGACCCCCGGGGCTATGTCAGCAATGCTGCACACAAACCAACTGCACACAGACCAACGTGCACAGCCTGCCCTAAACCCACCATGTATATAAACCGGCCTCTGCTGCCCTAGAGACCTCAGTTTTGCCCTCTTGTCCCTAGGTCAGTAAGCCTTCCTTTGTATCCTTTCTTTACTTCACTAACTAATATATTATCTTGTCCCTAGCCTTAAGTTTGAGCACTGCTCACCATCGCTTGAATGAGGATCAGTCAAACACCCCCAGCCTTTTTGGTTTGTTCATTCCTTGTCGCTTGACCTCAAGTCGCGATAGGTGCCCTCTTCATGTCCGAGCCCCTCAATCACACATCAATGTTTCTTCCCACAACTGTCAAGCTCACAGACTTGGTGCTCTCTGCAAGTGTTGGGAATAATGTCATTGGAGGTGTACTCCTCCCCTTGCACTGTCAATGTGTCACCTGTATGTTATTCTTCATCAAAAGGGTCATGTACTGGCTCAATTGAGAATGGGCTGATGATATTCTATATGTCCGCTTACTGGTAGTTTATAAACCTGACAGCATACTGGGTAGTCAGCAGACTCAAAGAGGATGTGCATGCTGATTTGCAGTGATGCCTCATTTTGTAATCATGCCACTGCTTCAAACTCCACAGTGCTTTGGAAGCTTGTATATGAAACTTGTGGTAGTCAAGTGGACATGCATGTGATGATGGTGATATGTCATGGTCACCCAGGATATTGGCTAACAGATAAGCCCTGCATATGTCTACATAAGGTTTGCAACCATATCCATCATCATATCCCGCCCCTGGCACTCACTGATATCTATGGTCATGAATCAAGTGTTGAACGACAGGTGGGTTGCCCTCATGCATTCATTTGGAGTCATACTGATAGTGGGCTTGTAGGCTGCACAATGCACCACCCCAAAGCTTAGGTCCCATGTGGGGATATTAGCCAATATACACACCCCTGATGCAAGTCGCTGGTAGCCCTTCACCCATTGTGATCCAGCCGCCTGTGATCAATATTTGCATGTGTTTACCATGAGGCTCACCACATAGAGTTTGTAAAGTTTCTATTTATTGGATTTGTAATAATGAAATCATTGTTACTTTAGAACTGATAAGCCTACTACAACAGAACTCGAGCCTGAATCTGAAGATGCTAAGTCTCAACTACAATGTAAGTTTTGATATGCTTTCATTTGAGGGCACAAAATGACCACATCCACAGCTTCAATGCAGGATCAATTGACAGTGGTAGTCATATATCTCAGCATGCTTGATGAGCAATATACCCAGCTATGATCTGAGTATGCCCATATGAAGGACATGTGGAAAGATATGTGGAGTCAATTACAAAAGGGGATTGCATGTGCAATTCAATGTGGTGTTGCAACTGCACTGGGTGCTCATATACAGGCAGACTCTACTATGAGTGTAACTGATTATCATAACTGACTTGGTTTGTTTTGGTATTCTGTTGCTTTTATGCTGTCATTGCTATTGACCCTGTGTACTGCTTTGTGGCACCTGAGTGTTTACATGTTGCAGTATATGAATTGTTAATTCATCATCATCATCATTGTTGCAGCTTGTGCAATGACACACATGTCCAAATGCCACCGGCCAACATTGATATGTGTCAAAGCACTTGTGAATTGCACAATGTATATCCACCGCTCACAGGGCTGGTGCAACACTGTCATGTTGGGCACAGAACATTACATGGTTTGTTGCTGATCACATTGACTCACTGTATTTTAGGTACAACTTCTACTTGGAAAGATAAGACAAAGGGTGTTGTGGTTGCTCTTGGGATGTTGAGAATGAGGTATAGATGGCCGTGATTTTCATTGGTTGACCTTGAAATACTACAACAAGTGCTAGAATCTGTGCTACCCATGCTGACTATATTACACACTTCATACTCTCTTTATGCACTTCTCCCATTCCTTCCACACATTAGGGTGCCAGCCTGTCTATCTTCCATTCAGGGACATCCTCCGGTGAGCCTTCTGCATGCAAGTACCGCACTTGGTCATGCAAGCAGGATGGCTTGCCCAGCCAGAATTCAATTTTACTATGGAATCAATGGTAAGCAATGGCCGATATGCCCGTAGCGGAAAGCTGTACTCAGGTGGAAGCCTGCCGTGCGATGGCAGACAACACTTCATGATGTGTTTGGACCCGAGAACAGAACCAGCAGAAGCCAAGTAGAATTGGTTTGTACACTAGTGTAGGAGAGACGAAAGGTAGATTAACTACGAGATGATGGTTTGGGAAAAGGAGTGAGAGTGAGTAAGACTGTGTGTACGCAGAACCAAAATGGATGCACCAAACAACATGACAGGTGCACAAATACATGATGTCAATACCTATCTGCTGTAGTCATAAGCACAAGCTTACATTAGACACCACCCACCAGCCACCCCAGAACTCAGGCAGCGGCATGTTCATGGTCAGGTTGTTCTCATCCACCTTGGACTGCCACTTCAGCTTGTTCACCCATGCCTGCACCCCGCCGTCCATGCAATGACAGTGCTCTGTCTGCTTGCCCACGTGCCCAGCCTGTCACGACTTGAGGTCAAGCGACAAGGAATGAACAAACCAAAAAGGCTGGGGGTGTTTGACTGATCCTCATTCAAGCGATGGTGAGCAGTGCTCAAACTTAAGGCTAGGGACAAGATAATATATTAGTTAGTGAAGTAAAGAAAGGATACAAAGGAAGGCTTACTGACCTAGGGACAAGAGGGCAAAACTGAGGTCTCTAGGGCAGCAGAGGCCGGTTTATATACATGGTGGGTTTAGGGCAGGCTGTGCACGTTGGTCTGTGTGCAGTTGGTTTGTGTGCAGCATTGCTGACATAGCCCCGGGGGTCGATAAGTTAGCGTGTTGTGTAAGCAGCGCCAGGGCTGTGCCGTGCACTGCCGCCCCA